TGGATTACAATACTCACCCACAAAGATGGGCCCAAATGATGTAACTGACCTTGCAGAGAGGAAGCGTGGAGGAGAGGGAGGGGGGTTTGGAAATCTGAATTTCACAAACGACCCTTCTTACTACAGGGAGCTGAATCCACACAGCAGACCCCAAACTTGGGGTGTTTGACAAGATCTGAATTTTGCAGCATACATCTGTTAGTAGCACCACCACAAAGGCCACGTCTACACTTGCTGTGCTGGAGATCGATCTGGCATTTGATTTAGTGGGTCTAATAAAGACCTGCTAAATGGAACGCTGAGGGCACCCCCTCATTGGCACTGGTACTCATAGAAGTTGCGAGGAGTAAGGGAAGCCAATGGGAGAGTTTGCTTCCATCAACCTCACACTGTGAAGGTGGCACCAAGCTCAGCTTAAGGTAAGTCAACTCAAGCTATGTCATTTATATAGCTGGGGTTGTGTACCTTAAGCCGACCTTCCGGGTCTGCTGTAGACTTGGTCTAATAATAAGATCAGACTAAATCTCTGCAGGCAAATGAGCCAGAGCCTGGGTAACTCTGGCAAAGGAAAGAGTCTGTCTCAGATAAGAATAAAAGGGGAAAGAGAGAAGTTTGAGGCCCATGCGTGTTAAGAAACATGCATCTAACTGGGTGCCTAATTTCCACCCAGCCTGTACTCACAGTTACGATGCCTGTGCACACACTTGTAAATGAAGGAGACTGACAAGTTGGATGGGTAAAATCCTGGCATCGTGTCTTCACTAAAGCTCCCACCATTGCTCTCCCAGGGAATCATACCTGAGATAATGTGCAGGTAAGGAATTTTCTGAAGAAAGGTCCAGGCACGTGCAGACCCATGCTATAAGCCAGCTGTGAGCAACCAAGCTACCTATTTAGCTATAAATGGTTGGCGGCGTCATGATTTCTCATGGCAGCAGAGAGACGGAAAACCTCCACATCCTTGTATCTGTGGGGCGCCCTTATACGGACGTCACAATGGAGTCCCGGATGTGGTGCATCTGAAGTATATGCAGCCCTCTCTGTGTTGCTGCACAGGAAAGGCTTTTGACAGCCTGTGATGATTCAAATACAGGAGATGGTAAATATGAAACTAGAATGTGCAATGGGGCAATAAAGCCAGACCAATCCCTTATTAACCTAAAACGCCCACTGTCGTCGATAGAAATTTGGACTGAGCCAGGCTCTCAGGATGTGGCCCAGTCAGTTTTCTCTCCACTGGCCCCCAGAAAAGTAACTTGACTTTAAATTGCTGCAACCAATTCACAGGGTGGATAAAAAGCCAAAGCAGAGGGGTGGGTTCAAAGAGATTGGTATTATAATTTCAGCCAAAGATTTAATGAATGCAGGGACTTCCTGGGAGCATGTCTCTCATTCTGCACGCCCTCTCAGGGTATGTCTACACTACAGCGCTAATTCGAACTAACTTAGTTCGAACTAACTTAGTTCGAATTAGTTAATTCGAACTAAGCTAATTCGAACTAACGTGTCTAGAACTAAAAACTAGTTCGAATTAGCGTTTTGCTAATTCGAACTAGCATGTCCACATTAAGTGGACCCTGAACCAGGCTTAAGGATGGCCGGAAGCAGTGCCGGCAGGGCATCAGAGGAGGACTTAGAGCGTGGAGATGCTGTCTCAGGCTAGCCGAGGGCTGCGCTTAAAGGGTCCCGACCCCCACCCCAGACAGACAGTTCTCAGGGTTCCCCGCTTGCAA